CCTTGGCTTTTGGTTGATTTATCGTGGATTTTCCAGGATTTTCTGCAGATGCTGTTCTATCCACAGATTAATTCTCAGCGTCTCCATGACCATGTCCTCTCTCTGGACCATCACATTTTTTTTCTACTCTTCCTTTAACCACAAGGAAACTGCTAGACATTTCCAAACTTAAATATTTGATCTAGACTTTTACATTAACCTCTACATTTGTAACTATAGTCATTCCCTCAAAAAACAGTTTATTGTGTGCCCTATTATGTGACAGAAATAGTTCTGTTTGCCAAATGAAAGAGACTGTCTGGTTTCCCGCTGTGTTCCTACCATTTACAATCTCTGTCTGAGTGACTCAAAAATATCTAAAGCCAAACATGTCCAAGTCTGAACTCTTTATATTGCCATAAATATATGCCCTGTCCCATCTATCAGTGAGTGGCACTTCCATTTTCCAAATCATCCAGATCAAAACCATCCTTCCTCTACATCAGCCTGATGAGGCCAATCTGACAATTCTGTATCCTCAGGATTTCTCTTATCAAGCCCCTCCTTTTCACTGCTACAGTTACTGCCTTAGTTCCTTAGGCAATCTCCTCTCACCTTTCTAGAGAGTCAGCAGACACTTGTAGAATAAACGTAAGGATAAAAGAATTCAAGAGTGAATGGAAATTTTGAACAACTGCTACCATCTTATTACAGGCCACATTGACTCCGTTCTTCACACTCCAGTTCATTTTCCAAATTGACGAAATGCAGGTATTTTCAAAATTCATATGTAACGATGTCATTCCCCTGTCTTTCACCTTTCATTCTCCATACCATCTGCAGCAGGGGTCTCCCGCCCCTGGGCCGCGGACCTGCACTAGTCTGTGGCCTATCAGAAAGCAGGAGGTGAGTGGCACAGGAGTGAGCGAAACTTCACCTGAGCTCTGCCTCCTGTCAGATCACCAGGGGCGTTAAATTCTCACAGGAGCCCAAACCCTGCATGAACTGCATGGGAGAGGAGTCTAGGCTGCACACTGCACACTCGATGACACCAGGTGATCTCATCGGAGGCAGTGATGCTAGTATGGGGGGATGTAATTACTAAATATTAAAACACACTAATACAATTTTAAAAGCCTCCCTTCCCCCAGTCTATAGAAAAATTGTCATTCATGAAACTGGTCCCTGGTGTCAAAAACTTGGGGACTGCTAGCTACAGAACAAAGAGCAGATTCCACAGCTGGCAAATGAGGCTGTCAAAGGCCAAGCTCTCACCTTTCCCTTAACTTCTCCTGCAGCTGTCCTCATCCTGCAAACACTCAGCAACACCTAGCATTATTATGCTGGCTCAAAATTCCATATCTTTGCTCAAGTTGTTTTCTCTACCAAAATTGATCATTCTCTCCCTGCTTGGCCCACCTGAAAATTAACTACACATTTGTCCAAGCTGAGCTCCGAACTCACTTCCCACATGAAGACTGTGCTGGCCTTGGTGCCTCCATCTCCTCCATATTTTTGTCTCTTTCCATGAAGCCGGGAAATCTGCCTCCTCCCTGGCTGCACCAATAAAGGCCATTTTGTACTTGTTCACATTCCCGAATCAGCCCATGCTGGAATCTTCCCCTCCTTCAGAGTAGAGGCCCTTGTCTTACTGACTTGTGACTTATAACATGTTAGACAATAAATGCTTGCAAAGATGAATGAACAGGTGAATGAATAAATAAGTGAATGATAGTCACAAAAAATTTTAGGCAGTGGGATGATATGACAAGTTTTGCATTTAAAGAACAAGACTATGTTGTCAGAAGGAAAAGTCAGGAGGTTGTGGACAAAAGCCAGATGATCAGGCTGAAGATATTACAAATCATCCAAGGGAGAGGTACTGAGTGGCAATAGAAGCAGTCAGGGGGGGATGTATTATAAAAGTAGAAAGTGATCGACCAGGACTTAATGGCCTTTTGGATGAGTAGCAGGAGCAAGTGAGAGAAAAAGAACAGTTTCAAGGCTCCTACCCTGGGTGACTGCACTATTTTTTCTAGTTTAAAATATCTACAAATTCCCGTCTGCAGTCTCAAACCAGGCAAGGACACACTGAACAAAGTGACAAGTTACATGTACGTGCCACACTGCTTCCTGTGTCATTTCTCAGAGCCACACATGCAAGGAGGCAAGTTTCTACACTGAACCCCAGCATGCCTTCAATCCAATACCTACTCTTCTGAAAACCATCTTTAAAAGAGGGGGAATTAAAAAGGAACAAACAACATTCAAAGAAAGAAGTTACCCCAGGTTTGTACAACTCATCCAGCAAACTGAAGAAGCGCTCCAGACAGGACACATGGCCATCCAGTAGATCCAATCAGAGGCAGGGTATGGATCTAAAAATCTCCACTATTTCACAGACTCGAAGAAAGTATTGAAATAGGTAATGTTTTGTTCTTGCCAGTCACCCTATCAGTCAGCTAAGATATATGCTCTTGGAACCACCTTATATATCATCAAACTATCACTATAATAATGATCTTCGCATATTTAACAGAAATTCATCTTTACCTATAGCACAACTTTAAACACACTTTTCTTAAAAAAAATAAACACTTGTTTCTTGGCAGTAAAACACTGGTCTACCATGTAAATTCATCCTTGAAGTACCTCATTAATCACAGTGCACTTGTTCTTGGCAGCAACCTTAATATGCTACAAAAACTGTTATTAAAGTAAGATCTGGGGATTCCCAGGCTGGCAGGGAATTAGTTATATCTCTCTAGAAACTGTTTTCTTGTAATTTCTCGTATTATTAATGGTCTTGTTAGACTTACAGCTCAAAGCAACTTTGCTTTATTAATTTAATGTATAAAGTCCAGCTATTCAAAAACTCATTTAAAATCATAAGCAGCAATTGCCAAAGATGGGCTCTTGCCCCCAGACCTGCTGTCACTGTGCACAATGCTCCCCAAACATGACACTCCCCCTTCCCTCTGCATGTCACTGTGGCTCTACCACCTCTCCTGCTCAGACACTAGTGTCAGACTCTAGAAGTGAAGAATGCAAAACTCGACATCAACAACATCTTATTGACAAGCACATAATTTATTTCCACCTACCACCAATGACACTGCTAAACTAACAAAGCCCAGTGAGAAGTATCCAAAACTAAACCTTTTTTAAAAATCATGTATCAGAGTGTAAAAAAACTGTAAGCTCACAGAAACCTATTACACACCAAGACAGCAAAAAGAAAATGCTGCCTGGCTGAGAAGTTCCCATTCACGTTCAAGAACAACACTTAGAATATCTGAAGTGGGTGCCCCGACCACGGGGTCTCCAGCCCTCTCTGAATGGACAGGGCATAATTAATCAAAGGCTATACAGGGGATCATATGACAATTCAATACCATGAACACGGAGCCTATTCTTGCAAAAGTCATTATCCGTATAGTGTATATTACCCATCAGGTTGAGTGTCATCCTTGTTCATTATTTTTAGTGTATCGTGACAGGTCAAAGTAGTTTATTAGTGTTATTAAGTAATAGGCCTCATTATATATCAACCCAGAAGAGATGAACATGAAGAATAACAGTAGCATTTCTCTGTGCCCCTCATTACACTATCTGCTTCTAAATCGATGTCAATCTTTTGACCTAACCATGCAATCCAACATTCTCCTTGTAGACGCTGTAAAACAGAAAGCGGGATGGAATATTCTAATGCTATAGGCTGCCATGGGACTGTAAAGTTTTCCAGACACGAGGGCCCCACAGATTGTAGACTTAATTTCCTAATTTCTGTGTGGCCAAATCCCAAGTTTGCCTATTTACAAAACTAGTCCCTTTTCCCATGTTATCTCAAAAACTGTTTCTGGTGTTGATGCCTATCTTTCATCCTGGACAAGGGCTGTGTATGGATGCTAACACCTCATTTCTGAAAGAAACCTAATTCACGTGTTCGAAACATATTTTACCAGGAAGCAAGGAATGTATCAGCGACTGAATGTAACTTTCTCTGTGGGCCTCCTAAGGCTGACATCCTTATACTTCCTTTTAACATAAAGAAGCAAGGGGTGAGAACAGAAAATAGGGAAGAGGATAAGAAAGAATAAATTAGGGTGTAAAAATAACCATAAAATGTCCAGGTAAACCTAACTCCAACAGGAGACAGAATGAATGGATGTTGTGGGAAAACCAGTAGTAAACTTTAAAGCCACTGAAAGGCTTTAAATGCCTAAGGGGAAAATAAACATTTGTTTCCAATCATTTTCTCATTAAGCATTCTCTGCTAGACGGCGAGGGCTTGCTTAACACACACACTCTGACTGGGTGCCATAAAAGCCCATTTAAGCCGCTGCCCACCGCAGGTCGGAGAAGGCTCCAGCGCGCCTGTGCCACCGCACCTGGGCCGCGATCCGGCGCCCGGGCTGCCCTCTGCCCCGCCGGCAGCGCCGGCACAGCCCCCGCCCGGCGGGCGGTCCCCTTCCCTCCCGGGGCCACCTCCTCGGGGGCTGGAAGGGCTGTTCGCGCTGACAGTTTTTCCGTTGGTGGCGGCGGCGAGGCGTGTTTCCGCCCGGGCGCACTTAGAACCCAGGAGCACCCAGGCAGCTTCCCCTGCCGCTCTGAGCAGGTCGTGGACCCACCCGGGCGGCCCCCGAGCGAGCTCCTCTCCAGCCCCTCGCGCCCCGCGGGCACCCCTAAACCGCAACAGACCCTCGGGTCTCGCGCAGCACAGTCCTCCCGCGCGCGCCCAGCTGCCCCGCTCGGTGCAAGTTTCTGCAGCTCGGGACCTAAACGCTTTCGGGGACCCACGGAAGCCCGAGTCCCGCGCGCGCCGGGTGCCCGGAGCACTGGTCAATTCGGGGGTCCCTGCGGAGAAGGGGCGAGCGGGAGGGGCGGAAGGCTCCGGCCGGGGACGCGAACACGTGCAGAGAAATCAAGGCAGCACGTGTGCGCGGGCGAGTGGGTGTGCGCGTCCGGGGGCGGCTCAGGGTCCAGCGGGCGCGGAGGGGCGCGGGGGTCGCGGTACTTACACGAACGCGTGGTACACGAACGCCCAGCCACGCGGCCGCTCCAGCACGTTGTACAGGTAGTTCTGCACGCGCCGGTACTTGGCGTTGCGCCGGCAGCTCTGGCCGCTCGAGTAGGACAGCGGCTTCCCCAGCAGGCTCATCCGGGCCCCCTGCTTGCCCCGCCGGTTCTCTCGCAGGCCGGGCGCGGCCGCGCGGGTGCCCAGCAGCAACAGCCCGTCGCCCCGGGCGGCCGCCGCGTTCAGCAGCACCCTGCCTCGACCCGACTCCACATCCTTCATGCCGCCGCCCGCGCGCCCCCCGCGCGCCCCCGCCACCGCGCCGCTGCTCCCCCAGGGCCGCGCGGCGCCGCCCTCCTCTCCGCCCGCGAGGTGGCGGGGCATGGCATCACCACGCGCGCCGCGAGGGGGCCGCTGGCGGCGAGGGCCACGATCTCCTGGGCGGCCGGGACCGACGGGGCGCCCGCGCTCAGCGCCCCCCACCCCCAGGGCCACCGGGGCGGGAGGAGGCCGAGGCGTCCCGAGTCCTGGCCGCCTGTGGCTCCGGATCCAAAATCCGGACCTGCCGGGGGCGCCACTTTAGGAGGTCGTCCTTGCGCCCGCGGATTCCCACGGCGGCCACTCCTTCCTCGCGCGGCGCCCCAGCCCGAGCGATGTGCCAGGGGCGGCCGGGCGCGCTCCCACGCGCGCACCCAGCGCCGGCGCCCCCTGCCTTCCCTCTGCTCCCCGCGCCCGGCGGCGAAGGTCTTTCTCTTCCCCGCGCAGGACCAGCCTCCCGGGCGCGCCTCCGAGGCGGGGGTTGGGTTTAGCTCTCCCAGGGGGCCAGAGCGGCGGGAACGTGGAATCCGCCGGGTGCCCCGCGAAGGACCCGGGCACGCGGATCGCGCGCCGCCTCGCAGGGTCCTGCCATCCTCCCACCAGCCGGTAGAGCGAGCGCGCCGGTCCTGCCCCCCGGCCCTAGCCGGCCCCCGGGGAGTGCGGGCTGAGGGCGCATCCGAGGCCGAGCCAAGGGGCCCACCCAGAGGACGTGGCCGCCCCGTCCTCGAGGCCGGGTGCTGGCTGCTTCGAGCCCCTCACTCCAGCCTTCAGGCTGTGATTTCCCGTCCTAGTTGCACCAGGCAGCCAGCTTGAAAGTGCCTGGACATCCTTCCCGGGCCGGGTCTGGGGGCAGGGGGTGTGTGGGGAAGGAGGAGACGCTCCAGAATACCTCCTTGGCAGCCAGAGAATCGCCCAGGGGCTTTGACAGCCACGCCTGGGAGAATTAACCCTATTCGCTCCTTCAAGCAATTTCCATTGAAGTTCCAGACAGTCCTGAGACTGCTAAGTGTGGGCAGTGGCGGCAGCAGCCCCAGTGTCTGCAGGAGGAACCCTGGAGGGTGAGGTGCCCAGGACGCAGCGCCCCACCCTTGGGTGCTGTAACTCCTGAGGCTGGAGAAGTATTGCTAGGAAGTACTGGTTGGTTCTTCCACACCCTGGGCCAACTGGGAGACCACCTTGCCAGGGGCTGGGACCTCTGGCTTTGAAAGCTAGTGTTCGTGTAAAGCACAAGTAGCTAAACATCACCTTCAGCGAGGGGCAACTGAAAGAAGGCAGATTTGCGAACTTCTTCCAAGAGAAAGAAAGAAGATGATCATCAAGTGAGACTGAACCACGTGCCCACCACAAAACCCCAGAGGCAGTTGCCGGTGGTCATTCCGCGTGCCTCCTTCCTAACGCCCTATTTCAACTGGCTCTGCTCCCCGCAAATACTCTACCAACGCCCTCCAGTAGCACGCCCAGGCCTGCTGCAACTGCTTTCTACCTCAAGCGGTGGCTGCCCTGAAATGCTTTACTTTCGATTTTCACCGTGTCGCTGCTGTTCTGGTGAGGTCCTCTCCTGGGCTCTAGCCCTTGCTTTCAGCCCAAGCCTCTGGGCGGCCCACCGCCGCGCCACGTGATGGAGCGGAGTCACTTGCTTTCCCCTGATACACTTCACACCCACGCCTCGTGGAGGTGCGAGCGAGCGAGACTGCTCCGTGCCCTGTTATTCTAGGCAGATGCAGAGAGCCTCCCGGAACAGGCTTTCCAATCCCAGGGCCGCGTGGGGACCCCAGCTGGAGGCGGGGGGAGTTCGCTACTGCTATATTTAGACTCCCCACGGAGTTTCTGTGCAGGGACTCTCAGGGTGAAAGATCTGGCGAGTTGAAATGACTAGTGTAAACGCTTTAAACTCGAAATGTTGGCTTTTCTGCAGGCAGCAAGACGCAAACCACTTCATTTTGAAGGAGCTGTTTTGTTCCTTGTAGATGTGGACTACTAGGTCAGGTCCCTTCCACTTGACTTCCTTCCTGGGCACCGGTGTGCAGGCAGGAAATCTCAGGAAGGCAAGGCACAGGGACACGCTTCGCTGGAGGCGAGCCAGCTGCTTTATTTGAGAAGGATGCTTTCCTGGGGCGTAGCTATGATACTAGCGGAACTGTGAGTTGGTTGAGCAAAAGCCAGGAAACTTTTTAACAATCAGGTTCCATGAAGTAGGGGTTCAGAGCTGGGGAGGATCGCTAGATTATCTCCTAGATAGTCCAGAGAACAGACTGGGACCGTGCACACAGTCACCAGTAGTTAGTGCACCACCGGTTGCTAGGGCCACCGACTTTGCCGCCCAGGTAGGTACCCCTTAGACAGCGTCTCCAGCGGAGGCTGGAGCAAACAGCAGGCTGTTCTGTACTGAGCGCTGCCTTGGAAAGACTGGTGTAGCTGCAGTCCTTGAGCATCCTGATCAAGAAAGATCAAGGGAGGCTGCTTAGATCTCTTCTATGAAATTCTTTTTTTGTACTATACTTTCTTTGCTACCCACTGTCATCTCTGGATAAATAAGAATTAACTTTGGGGAAAATAAAGTGTGTGTTTTTGAGCTTTTGTTGTTGTTCCTTTGAATACAGATGTTGCTAGGAAACTACCTTTCATTCTTTTTGTGAAGTATCAGAATCAAGAGGGTGGGCATAGTACGGCACGAGTGAAACAGTGTAGTGTATATCCGAGGCATCATGGTTACCTGAGAGCATTATGCAGAGGTAAAGGTAAATGACATTCACGTTTTTCACAGGCAAATGATTACTGTCATGTGAGCCGACTGGCCGGCCCCACCCTTTGAGATAGGTTTACTTTCCACCATTCCCTTTGTACACATTGCTGCCTGAGTACAATTTACGACTTTGGAAACTTTTTCTCTGAAGTCTATGTGGAAATGGTTTCAATTGAGCAGAGTGAATGGAAATATTTTATTTCAGAATTTTCTGAAAGGTGCTCTGGATGAGTAATATTGAAACCTCCATATGTGAGCTAGAGATGTATAAGACAGACTTTCAGTGCCCACAAAAGAGGCAGAATGAATGGATCTTCACTGATGTCACAAAATATCAGGGACCCTGTTATTCTCTTTCTTTCCTTTTTCTCCATACCTAACCATTTTCCCATCTGTCCCAACCCACTCAATACAGCATACCTTCCCACCCACTAATATGTGTGCTTCTGGTCAATTAGTGAGTGCCATACAGATACATTTGGGCTGCCCTAGGATTGCTGGACTAGTCTGATCAGTAACGATAAAGAAAATCCTTAAACTGAAGAGCAAAATGGAAAGAAAGACGTGCACAAAGCTCACCAATTTGACATGCAGGGCTGGGGGTCATATTGAAGTCTCCCAGCTCCTAAGTAGAATGCTTTAAGCAACACTACCTTTCTTCCTAACTTTTACCTCAGCCCTATCCAGCCATAAGTGACCCAAGAAGCATAGGAACTATACTTCGTTTTGTAGGTATTGTATCTCATTAAAGCTATTGACTCAGCAAACATAGTTACCTTCTTTTACTATGTTAAACATATTGACATGGCATCCCACTGTACCACTTTTTGTTCATCAGGAATTCTTATCTCTAAGAGATAGGATACAAACTTGAGATTTCTGTGATGAGCAGAAATCGAGAACCCAGGTCAGGATCAGAGGTATTCCAAGGCTGCCCAGACTGCACAAAGGTTCTGAAATAGTAAAAATCCGTCACCCCTGCGTAAGGGGTGACCCCCTTGCCCTAGGGACACAGAAGGTTGTGGGTGTCAGTGCCTGTGGCTGGAAGAAGAGACTGGCAGGTAAGAAATAGCACTTTAAAAAAGAAAGGACTTTAAAAGTTTTCACTATTTTCATTCCAGCAGCTACCAAAATTTGTCCAAGAATTACTAAAATATTATGCTAATCACCACTGTCAAAGCAAAATGATATCAAATATTTAATATGTATTCAGTAGTTGCTAGGCACTAATATTTAAATAATTATTTCATTTGAGTCTGACAATGCCTTCCTAAGAATGAACTACAATCAAAATCAATGTAGAGGGTAAGAAACTGAGGTGAAGATTCTAAATTTTTTAAAAATTAATAAGTAGTCAAGCTTGGCATGCGAACTTAGAAGTATTTAATGCAAAAGAAAAAGAATAAAAATGGAGAAAAACCAAAACCCAGATTTTTAACTACAAATCTTATATGAACTTTTGAAATAAAAAATGTGTGCCATTATTATGCATCTTTTTGTTGTTTTTTGAGGTAGAGTAGTTTTAGGCTGCCCTTGCACTTGCCATCTAGCCCAGACTGGTCTTGAACTGGTTTCTTAGCTATCCTCTTGCCTCAACCTCCTGGGGGCTGGGCTTATAGCTGTGCACTGCCACATCTGGCTGTATTCATAATCTTGACAGTGTCTCTTTACAAAAGAAAAGTATGAGAAAGTTTTTTTATTGTTTTAAGGCAAGCTTTGGGGGTTTCAACACATAAATAGCTTCACTCTTCTTCACTTTTCCTGAGAAGTTGAGTTTTCACTGAATAGAGATTTTTTTACTGAAATTTTAAAACAGCCCCAAATCTTACAGTATTAATTTGTTATTAAAGTCAAATTTTGATCTTTCCCTAACACTGTTTTCAGTTTTACTAATAAAATCTTGTTTATAGTATTTGTTTATACCTGGCTTCATTTTTTCTGGAATATTAGTATGACTATCTTTTAGCTAACTACTTAAAAACTTCTTTCAGTAAGTAATTTGAGTACAATTTGATCTTTTTGAGATCTATTTATGTAGAAACCAAGTAAGTTGATAGAGGAGAACATCTCCACTGAGTTAGTGTCTGGAAAATTCTGTTATAATTCTGTGCCCCCTAGTGGTACTGCCATTTTACCATTAGTTTTGAAGAGGGAATTAAGACAGCATCCTCTATGAAATTCTAGATACATGTTCCTTCCTTCAACAATCATCAGTCATTAGATGCCACACTAGTTGATGTGTTGCAAAGATGAAAAATATTTCTGATTTTTATCGTGTTTATGGATTAGTGAGGGAGATGGATCCATAAGTGGTGATGAGTTC